CTCTGCAGCTCCACCAGTGGCTCCACAATGACATTTATTTCACCAAATCCGACCACAACCGACCGCGCTGGCAAAAATATGAAATCAAGATCCGGCCGTCCTCATCCAGTGCATATTCACCAACACCAACTGCTTTGATTGTTGCCACCGTACCTCGCAGGGTAACAAAAGAACTGCTGGGACTGCAAGAACAGCAGTATTTTCTGGGCTGTGGCCCAGCAGGAGTCCACCTGGTGAGGCCCACACCAAGCAGTAAATGCCTTTAAGCAGTAGGAGGCAGTCCCAGTGGGTAGTGCACAGGTCTCTTGCATAGTCCTCACTATAGGCTCCAGCAAACCTGTGGCCAAGAGTCTGTCTGTCTCAGGGGCAAGGTTACCAATCTGAGCCCCGTGACTAAGGAGTGAGGCATGTCCCTCCGATAGCAGAGCCTCCCATGGTGTTTCATCCAAGAAAGATGGAATTACTAAGAACCATGACACGTGGGACCAAAGAGGAGCTACCAAAACCTGCCATTCCTTCCACCCAAACCCTTTGGAGAAGGGGCTGGAGAAAAGGGAAAGAGGAAAGGCATAGAGCAGACCACCCTGGGGCGACTGGTGCGCCAGAGAATCCCATCCCAGGGGTGGATTGTCATTCCTGAAGGAAAAGAAGAGTCAACAATGTACCATCTCTCTGGAGACGAACAAGGCGACCAGAGTTGAGTCTGCAGCTGTTAGCAACCTAAGCAGGTTAAGAAGCTCTGCTGCCTTGCTGGAGTCTCGGCAGTAGTCTTCCTCTTGTATTCCAGAACCAAGTCCAGAAATGTTGTCATCTGGGAGGCTGCAACCAGCACTTATTGCTGTTGGGGACGTCGTCGGCCTTAAACAGATTCCATAAGTTGAGCCACATGACAGCAGCGTGAGTGCTTTGCGGAGCCTTGAGCCTAAGTAGCTGCTCTCACTGTGAGCATTTTGGGAGTTTAGCTCATGGAAAGCTTCCAAGTGGGCCTGAGGTTCCCTGGCCTCCATTATGGGACCTTCAGTGTTGGACAAAGTACCGGCGCTCTTGATCGCCTCGAGCCTCTAGCCCACCTACAAAGTTACACGATATCATCTGTGAGGCTGAATGACCTGCAGCCAGGGCACAAAAAATAAATCACAGAGGACATCCCAGACACTTCCTCTTTTCACTCATTTCATTCTTTCAAATAATCACCTACAGATCACTTTTTTTTAACCCACAACATCTAAATTGTTCCCTGCAGCAATGTAGTACGTAACAGAGTGAAGCCACAACCTCGAGACAATAGAGAACAGTATGTTCTGATCATATGTGTGCAGTGTCACATCACATCCATCTCAACACAAAACTAAAACTTGGTGTCTGACCTCAGAGTCTCCAGTTTACAGTCTGGATTCTCCAGAAAACCACACAGATGCTTCACTCCTGAGTCCTGCAGGCTGTTTCTGTTCAGCTCCAGATGTTTCAGATGGGAGGGGTTGGACTTCAGAGCTGAGACCAGAGAATCACAGCTGATCTCTGACAAACTGCAGTTTCTTAATCTAAAAAAGAATAAAAATATGTAGATAAAATCAGTGATGATTCAATCAGATGTGTTTTGTTTCTGATGTGCAATTCAACATTACTTTGTCCTCTTCAATGAGCTTTTCTCTAAAACTATTAATGGATGAAAGTTCGGTATGAACAGAAATGAGCTTCAGTTGGTCTTTAAACATATATGATCTGTGACAGTAACAGATGGTGAACTGACCTCAGAGTCTGCAGGCTGCAGTCTGGATTCTCCAGAAAACCACACAGATGCTTCACTCCTGAATCCTGCAGCTGGTTGTCACTCAGGTCCAGATGTTTCAGATGGGAGGGGTTAGACTTCAGAGCTGAGACCAGAGAATCACAGCTGATCTCTGACAACCTGCAGTGACACATTCTGAAAAGAAGAATAAAACATATAAGTTTAAAGGATGAAAAGTTTAATAATCTCGGTAGAGCTGAAGAAGGTTCTTCTAATCCTAAACTGTTGGCCTGGTTTAAATTTGAATTGAAGTAACACAAAAGAGTCAGATTTGAGGTGATGAGTTCCACAGTGAATTGTTCAGTGGAGGTTTTTTTCTTGTTATATTGAGGTTTAAAATCTGCAGCTCAATGTTTCTTTGCCACAGTTAATCAAATAAATGAATGTAAAAGGTTTAGAACAGACATTAAAATGAAGGTCCTCAGTGTGGATCAGTAGAACATCAGCCTGAAGGCTGCAGCTTAGTGTCAACACAACTTTACATCACATCCATCTCAGCACAAAACTAAAACTTGGTGTCTGACCTCAGAGTCTCCAGTTTACAGTGTGGATTCTCCAGAAAACCACACAGATGCTTCACTCCTGAATCCTGCAGCTGGTTGGAGCTCAGCTCCAGATGTTTCAGATGGGAGGGGTTGGACTTCAGAGCTGAGTTCAGAGAATCACAGCTGATCTCTGACAAGCTGCAGTTCATTAATCTGAATAAGGATAAAAACAAGTGAGTTTAGAGGACAACGTTGCTGCCTGAAATCCTGCCGAGTTTCATCCTGTGTTTACAGCTGAAGAAGCTTCAGAATGTTCAAGCTCAGAAAATGGAAAATCCAACAAAATTCAAGTTTCTAAAAAGCCCCTTAACAAAGTGAAACTGAGAAGTCCTCTGTGCATATGAAACCAAGCATAACATATTTAGAGTGTAGGAAACAGTGAAGTCTCTCTTTGAAATACTCAAATAGTGAAATCACTTGTCTGCTAAACATGTGGCTGTCCTGTAGGAATGTCAACATTTGGACTTGGGAAGTTCATTCACGATCCCTGTGTGACCTGACAGAGCTTGAGCAGTTTTACAAAGACGTGCAAAGCTGATGAAGACCTATCAACCAACTAACACTGGCTCAGTGCTGTGACAGCGGCCAAAGGAGCATCTACGAATAACCTATTTGATGTTGCATATATTTAATAAATCGACATTATTTTTGCAGAAATCTGATTTCATCTGGATATGAAAGAGACTCATTTTGTAGATTCTTGTCTAAAATTCCATATTAAACTGACCATGACTTAGTGCTGAAAAGCAATAAAAGGGAAAACCTTCCAGTGGAGGCTGAATATTTTTTGTAGGCACTGTAACTTGTGGGTTTTGTCTGACCTGTTAATAACAGCCCACCTTACTCAAGCAGGCGGTTTGATTATGTGGCAAAAGCTAGTTCATCTTACACTGACATCTTAAACAAGGTTGTGATCAGGTCTGCAGATTTGTTTTTGTTTTCGCTTTTTAAAAGTGTTCCAAAGGATGAAGATGGTAATGAAATGAAAAATATTTTATTTATCCCAGAAGGGAAATTCAATAATAGTATATATTATATAAATTATATAAAATAATAGTAATAGTCTCTATGCTCCTGTTTTTGCTGCATTCCCTGCACAAAGAAATGTGCCTGTAATACTGGCAGAAATAAAATGATTTTTAGATGAGGAACAGTGCATGTCTTAACAAACCGAATGCACGTGACGACACAAAGGCACCATCAATCAAAGCAGAATAAACCCAGATTAGAAGTATATCGTTTCCTCAAACACCTTTTTTAAGGCTGCAGTCAGACAACTTCAGAGCATTACAGGGTGTATTTACAGCTACAAGGACAAAAGATAACAAAAAGCTCTCCCAACTACCGAACCAACAACACTGTTGGTGATTTGGCCCTCTTCAGAGCGGTGCTGCTGTGGTCCGCCATCCAAACTCTGCACAGCGTACAAACCATTTGTTTGGTCTGTCATAACCTGAAGTACTCCCAAACTTTTGCCCTGAACTGAGTTGGACTCTGCTGCAGCCAAAAGTAAGGATGCTGTTGAGCCAAAAATGACTGACGCCATGATGCAACAGTTATGTAGTGATACAAAAGAAAAGACATTTGTGAGAACGACTTAAAGCACTTTAGAACCGATTACAACAGAAGATATTTTGATGTAATATACTGACGTTCTGAATTATGTCAACTACTTGTGGCAGCTCTACAACTTTCACATCGTAGTCATCTCAGCACACAACCTAAACATAGTGATGGTGTCTGACCTCAGAGTCTCCAGTGTACAGTTTGGTCTCTTCAGTCCAGCAGACAGATGCTTCACTCCTGAATCCTGCAGCTGGTTGTCACTCAGGTCCAGATGTTTCAGATGGGAGTTGGACTTCAGAGCTGAGTTCAGAGAATCACAGCTGATCTCTGACAAACTGCAGTGATACAATCTGAATAAAGAATAAAAGATGTAGATAAAATCAGTGCTGATCCATCAGATGTGTTCAGGTTCTGAATGAGCAGCTCAACATGACTTTGTCCTCATCAATGAGCTTTTCTCTCCAACCAGCACAGTGACTTTGTCCTTCTGTTATTGTGGATCATCATCATGTCAGCTTCTACACACATCATCCAGATGTCAGCACAACATCCATCCAGCTGTTCATGTCCACACACATCAACAACATGCTGCTGACCTCAGTCCACTCTCTCATTGCAGGATCAGTATCTAATCATACATGGCTGTATGTAGGTACACAAACACATGAAAGCTTTATTAAAGAGGTAAGAGCTACAATAGCAACAGAGAGACAGTGAACTGACCTCAGAGTCTCTAGTCTGCAGTGTGGATTCTCCACGAGACCACACAGATGCTTCACTCCTGAGTCCTGCAGCTGGTTGGAGCTCAGGTCCAGTTCTGTCAGATGGGAGGGGTTGGACTTCAGAGCTGAGACCAGAGAATCACAGCTGATCTCTGACAAGCTGCAGTTCCTTAATCTGTCTCACAGGGCGATAAACAGATTGAATTAGAGCTCAAACAATCAAGTTGTACTTTTTCTTCTTCACTTGCTCAGTCAGTCTCTCCCATCGTGAAACAATCCACTCGACTGTTCCCATGTTCCAAAGATGAACTGGTCTGTAGGTAATCATTTTAAAAAATAAAATGAGGAGAAAGAGACGGGGGCTGGTGGAGAGAGAGAGTGTGGTCCTGACTAAGATAAACGTCGCGATGAAGAGTGCAGGTGCAGACTGGGAGATATTGACTGAGCCAGTAAAGTAGAAACACTGCTACGAAACTTAATTACAATCTGATGCAGCACTAGGTCAGAAAATTACACGCACTTTAATCACAATCAGGATTTCAGCTTCCCATAATTAAATGAACATTATTAATTGTAATACTGACAATTTGAATGCTCTGTTCGTAGAAAACTTACAAAGCTGTGTGGAACTATGGCTGTGCAAACTCAACTGGCTATTACTGAAGCACGGTGACTGCAATGTACATCAACAGGCAGGGAGGCCAACACACCGCCATTCTGTGCAAGCTGGTAGCCAAATCGAGGCTTACTCCCACTTCTGCTCACTCAAGGTCATACTTGAGCCACTGCCATTATACACAGCAGCAGACATCGTGTTGAGACGGGGTCCACACCCGGGGAAGTGGCAAGTCCATCCTCTGGTAGTCAAGGAGATCTGGCATCACTTCAGCAGGACACAAGCCGACCTGTTCACTCCTCTTCCCAAGCAACAGTCCATCTCTGGGATGGAATTCTTTGACGCGCCAATGGCTTCAGGGTCTGTTCTACCCCTTGCCCCCTTTCACTCTTCTCAAGTCGCTTCTCCGAAGGATTCAGGTTGAAGGAGTGAGGCTGATTTTGGTGGCTCTTCTTTTGCCCCACATGCAATGATTCTCAGCGATTCCACCACCCTTGGAAGAAGTGCCATGAGAGCTCCCAGCTCTGAGGGACCTGCTGTCTCAGGCTAGCAGGAGCCTGTTCCACCCTTTAGTGCCGGGGTTCTACTGGTTGCTGGCTCCTCACAGTAATGGGCTCCTTGCTGTGGCTCACAGATAAGGTAACTGCTAAGCTGGCGGTTCGATCCCCGGCCCCTCTGCATGCCAAAGTGTTCTTGGGCAAAACATTTAGCTCCCAATGACAATGGCTCCTAAGTGTAAATAGGTGAATGGGAAACGTTGTAAAGTGCTTTGAGTACCACGAAGGTAGAAAAACGCCAGATAAGTGCAAATCATTTACCATTCCTGACCTTAGGCTTGTCAGAAACTGTAAAGAGTGCTATGCAGGAAGCTCAAGTACCATTCGCAAGAGTTGCCTCAAACTGCTGGGAAGAACTTATTGCTTGATGTGGGGATAACCGAGTGGACCCCTGCTCAGACACAGCCCAGGACATCCTGCTGCCCTTTTAGTTGTGAGGCATGATGGCAGTAATCAAAGCACTAAATGAAAATGGTTGTGTGCACAGAGGCCTACAGTTGGCAGGATTAGACCAGCGAACCCTCCATGGGACATGGATAAAACCTTACTGTGAACCGAAAGTTTTCAGTGACTGCTCACTTTCTTTCTTGGTGGAAGTCATAGCCAGCAGAATTGCCAGTTTCTGGAAAAGCCATTTCAAGAGTTGTACCTGTCTTAGGCGAACGAGCTGCAGTTACTTGCCGTTTCCAAAAGAGACCAGGAGGACTGGTGCCTATGCTGTACCATGTCAGGGCTTTGGCAGAGCACATTCCTCATATACAGTCCCTCAGGAAGACTGATCAGCTCGTCGTATGCTTTGACTCCAGCAATTTGGGCAAGCTCTGATAGAAATCTACACTCTCCCACTGGGTTGTGGAAATAATAAAGCAGGATCATGTGCTCTCAGGGGTGCATGTCCTATTTGGGGTTTGGGCACACGTGGTGCTACCTCATGGGCTCTGTGACAGGGAACCTTTGTCACTGCCACATATGCAACAGCCACATGGTCATCTGACCTTTCCAAGATTCTGTACGAGCCAGTCCTACTGTCCAGAGCAGGTGCTGAGTGTGACTCATCGGTAGATGACTGGGCCAGGCCTCTGTCCACCGTCAGTGTTTCCCTCAGTCAGCTTGGTGACTTGCAGAGATTTTTACAACTATTTGATGAGTCCATAGACAAAATATCTCAGTGATGGTTTAAGTCATTTATTTGGCAAAAACACCAAATTGTTCCAGGTCTGTCCACTATCTCTATCAAATCTCTTCATAGCAGACAGAGGACACACCGTCTAAACCCTAAATATTCAGTAAACTGCATAGCTGGGGTTTGGGTTGTTACTGGTACTAAATGAGACAATTCAAAGCGTCACTTTGACGACGTGTCGATGTTTTTAACATTGTATAAACTAAATTATCTAAATAACTGACAATACAATTAACAATATAAATAATTGTAAGTTGGTGCCCTGGTTTGAATATAAAGTGAAGAAAAATAAAGAGTCAAATTTAAAGTGAAGAACAAGTGTATTAGAGTTTCACAGTGAATTATTCAGTTGAGGATTCTTCTTGGTATGTTGAGTTTAAAAATACTCAAGTCAACTTTGATCTGCCACCTTCAGTGGACTAAACTATGGAAGAAAAGACATCACCCTGAAGGTCCTCGGTGTGGATCAGTAGAACATCAGCCTGAAGGCTGCAGTTTAGTGTCAACACAACTTTACATCACATTCATCTCAGCACACAAAGAAAACTTGGTGACTGACCTCAGAGTCTCCAGTTTACAGTGTGGATTCTCCAGAAAACCACACAGATGCTTCACTCCTGAATCCAGCAGCTGGTTGTCACTCAGCTCCAGATGTTTCAGATGGGAGGGGTTGGACTTCAGAGCTGAGTTCAGAGAATCACAGCTGATCTCTGACAAACTGCAGGTAATTGATCTGAATAAAGAATCATACATGTAAATATAATCTTGTGGATAAATCTTTAATTTCTAATTTCTAATTTGTGTTGACGTGCTATTATCCCATAATCTGAAGAGAATGTATTTTAAAAGAAATAAAAATGAGCTCCTGCTGTCTGCCCATACCTGAGACTCTCCAGTTTACAGTTTGGACTCTCCAGTCCAGCACAAAGACTCTTCACTCCTGAATCCTGCAGCTTGTTATAACTCAGATCCAAATCTCTCAGACTGGAGGACGGGGAGCTGAGAACTGAGGACAGAGCTTCACAGCTTCTCTTTGAGAGGTTACAGTCTCTCAGGCTGTGGAAGAATCAACAATGAACACAAACATAATGTTTCATTAACTCATTTAAACATTCAGGAAATGCTTCATGAA